AGCCCCTGAGCAGGGATCCTAGAATGTGCCAAGCATCCTGCTGGCCTGGGCCAGGTGAGCCTGTATATAGGGTCTGTGTGCAATAGGGAGGGATGTCTTCTATTTTTTGCTGCCCCCTCCCCATCGCTCTCCTGGGCAGGGGGAGAAGGTCTTTTTCAGACATAGCATAGGCACCACAAATTAAAATTGTGGAGTTGCCAAAAAAAAAAAAAGAGCAGGCCGGCTGGCCAAATACCCCCTCTCTTCCCACCCCTCCTCCCCCCGCCAGCCACATCCTTGACCAACCTGCCCCACCACAATAGGCCCACAGCCCCTCCCCGTGGCTATCTGCCCCTGATTTCACCCCCCCCACCCCAAGAGGGGGCAGGGCTGAGCGGCCAATGTCCTGCAGCCCCTCCCCAGGTTGGCCCCACCCTTGATCCCCCCACTCCAATAGGGGGCATGGCTGGCCAGCCAATCTCCTGTAGCCTCTCCCCTTGCCCAGCCCCATCCCAGATTGCCCCCCCGCCACCGCAATCAGGGGCAGGGCTGGCCGGCCAACCACCCATGGCTCTTCCCCCAGGCCACTGGCCCTGATCGCCACCCCCCAACCCATTTGGGGGGGTGGTTGCCCAGTCCACCAACCACAGCCCCTCCCCATGGACAGCCCCACCCCCAATCGGCCAACCAACCCCAATCAGGCTGGTGAGGGGAGGGCAGTTGGGAGCAATCAAGCCAGTGGCAGGGGGTAGTTGGGGGCAAACAGGTTGACAGGAGAGGCAGTTGGGGGTGATCAGGCCAGCAGTTGGGGGTGATCAGGCTGGCAAACAGAGTGGTTAGGGGCAATCAGGCAGGCATGCAGGCAGGTGAGTGGTTAAGAGCCAGCGGTCCTGAATTGCGAGAGGGATGTCCGACTGCTGGTAAAGGATTGGGTCTAAACGGACAGTCTGACATCCCCCAAGGAGTCCCAGATTGGAGAGGGTGCAGGCCAGGCTGAGGGTCCCCCTCCCCCCAGTGCACGAATTTCGTGCACCGGGCCTCTAGTCTACACTAATAAAAGAGAAACATGGTAATTAGCGTACGACCGCTACCCTTCCCATTGGCTAATCAGCTTATCCTTATGCAAATTAACTGTCAGCCAAGATGGCGGCCGGCAGCCAGGCAGCTGGAAGCGAACATGAGGCTTGCTTGCTCCCGTCACTGCAGACTCCAACGTTCCCCGCCTGCGCTGCTGGCCTCTGAGCTGGCAGTTTGAAACTTTGTAACAAATATAGCCTGCTGGGATCTCAGAGCTGAAGTTATACATTGTTTCGATTATAGAACCCCAATCAAACCAGCAGCGGAAGCCTCAGAGCTAGAGCCAGAGCTAAAGCTGG